GAAAAAATAATCTGCCTGAAATCGTAAGGGAAATATGTGACAGAGTAGAAACTGGATCCTAAGTTTTTCAAGTTCTCAGATAGTACCATGACCACTGGGCTGCCCTTCTCTGAGCTAATCTACTGTACGGTAATAGTACTATACTACTTTAACTGCTATGAAGATTTTAAAAAGTCATGTTATAATATATGAAGATTTTTAAAAGATTTTAAAATGAAGATTTTAAAAAGTCATGTCACAATATAGAATGATAGCTTCTGATGTCAAATCTTTATTTATCATAACTGTCACTATTGGGTCTCAGTGGATGAAATCCTACTGTGCTACACAGGGAGTCCCATATATTCCAGTGTTGTTATAATCTAAGAATTACAGAGACAAGACCTTTCAACTGATTACTAAGAACCTAGGAACTAGGTCAGTCAAGGTCATTCTAGCTCAGTATCTCATCTGAGTGTCCTCCAAGTGGATTTGGAGTGGATGCTAAGGGAAAAAGTATAAAAAGTCAACCATGTATACATGTGGTTTGTGGTCTTTGTTTTCTCCAATCTACTTATACGGTGAAACTCTCAAAAGGCTAAATATATATATTACTTTTTGCAACAGATACCATAATTTATTTTAATGGAGGATATTTATTGGCAACCAGAATTCCCCAAGATGTATAGTCCGCACATCCGTTCTAACTTTATATGATGGATCGTGTGCCACAGACAGCTGAGGCTGAGACTTTTTGTACTAGCAGTAGCTTTAGAGTACGTTACCATTTGCTGATGCAGAAATAGAAAGTGTATCACCACCCCACAGACTCTCCCAAATTGCAGGGCAAGGGAGAGATATATTAAACTACAAGAGGAAGGGAGAATCAAACAGAGGTGTTAATTACACAACTGAGAGAACTTCGGGAACTTGTAAATAAACTTCTTTCTTGTTTTCAGGTCCACGTACCCACTGACCCTCAAAGTCCCGGGGTTTTGTGGTCAGTACAGCAATTAGCTAGAGATGAGGCTCAAAGTCCTTTGTGTAAATACTGATATCAGCACCTCCCCCTTAGTACAGCACCATTTCTGGATGCTTCACAAATATACAAAAGGACCTTCAAATGGGTAACAACAACTGAGGTCTCACAAAGCGCCTTCCGGAGGTGGCATTAGGGAAAGCCGGTCTCAGATATTTCCCGAATTCTTATGGGAGAACGCCTCTTCAGCTTTCAATCCGAGCTCCAGCAAAGGTCTCCTAGACCTGGAAAGTAACTCCAGGTGAAACTCCTAGCCGTTGAGAGCAGGGGTAAGCAGAGGTTCAGGAGCTTGGGATTTCAACATCCAGTGTGAGCCAAGCAGGCTAGACCACCCAAGGGCAGCCCCCATCCCAGCTGGCAGCACTAGCCGCAGACGAGCATCCTATCATGCCCTGTAAATACAGGGCACAGCTACCTCCTCAGAACTGCTCAACGTGATCTACGTCAGGAGGCAGCTGATGGGGAATATCAGGAGACAGCGAGACAGTATTAGCCTGTAATAGGCAGATGGCTCAGCGCGGCTGGCATTATCGAGACATTTGTAGGGAACACGGCTATGACAGCTTTCAAGGGATGCAAATAATTAGTTTTTTTTTTTTTTTTTTAATATTTATGAAAAGCTCTTCCCAAGCATGATGAGCTGCTAGGCAGACAGTCTAAAAGCACTTGTTTGAAAGGTCCAGAGTTTGAGTAATGGAGATCTTCATCCTTGATCAAATGGAGATGGGAGATGAGCTCTTAGTAGTGGATGAGATAACATACACACGAAGTGTTTTCAAGGAGTGGACAAGCAGTTTGTCTTTCTATTATGAGGGAGAATCAGTGGAAGTATGCAAGAAAAGGAGCATTATAATCAAAGTTAATGGCCAAGAACACTATTCTAGAGAGAGAACAAGTTAAAATTGCATTTAGATTCACAGAATATGATGTTACAACAAGCAACATACTTGATGATAAGAATTTGTTTGATAATTTGGATAAATGGATGGAAAATTCATGCTTTAAAATAAGTTACGTACATCTGCTTTCTAGGTATACACTAGATTTAGTCTGGTAGTGAAGACCTACAGGTAATGTGAGATGATGACCAAGCTAGTTCACTAACTGTCAAATGTGACAGTGATGTAGTTCACAATGACCATGACTAAAAGGAGCAGAAAAGCCTCTCGGAACAAATTTTTGCTATTTGAGTGAGCATTTGAAAAAGGCCAAGATGCTAGCTTTAGCATGAAGAGATAGAAAAAAGATAACTCAGTCATGATTCCAGTAATGATCCCAGAAATGGTAGCTGAATTTGTGTTTTCAGAGATTACTTAGAAATAGAGGGCAGCGGGAGGAAAAATAGAGGGATGCCTAGAAGAAACGAGTCAGCCCCTTTCAGGCAGCTGGAAGGTGGATGAGGAAGAACCTTTGAGGGTCTTCCGGAGGAATGACAGCAAAAAAAGAACGAGAAGAATGATGGACAAACTAATGGACAAGAATTCAAACAGATAGCTAGCTGTTTATGATGGTCAGTAAATCGAGAAGAGTGAAGGTAAATTTGACATTTGATTAAGAGGAAGTCATTAAATATTTTGAGGAGAATGGTGTCAGTGGTTCAGAAGCTGAAGCAGAGTCTGGAGAGACCAGTGTGTGTTTACATTCAGAGAGAAAAGAGTCAGGGGGCTTAGGAGGTTAAAGAGCAGCAGAAGGAAAGGTACTGGGATAGATTCTGTAGGATAGGGTAGGCCTTTCTGTCTGTATGGTGTCCCACTGAAATCACCAGAAAGGAACTTTCTACAGACACTGAATGGTGTGTGTACCGTCTTGCAGGATTCAGACATTAATGAATACTGCACACATTCTAGAGGTTGAATTGTCAAAGCAAGGAACTGGGAAAATGATCTGAGCAATGGTGTGTTCGATAGACTTGGTCATAGAAAGAATGCATTAGCCAAGGCCCGAGAAGATGATGTGGCGATAATAGAAATACCAGATGATGAAAATCTGGACAACAGCTTTAGCCTTGTGGATAGCTAAAAAGGATGTACTTTAGGTATGTTATTCAAAAGTCTGAACAGCCAAATCAATGCATTTGAACAGTGCTGAGATGACTGATTATACACTGTTCCGAAATGATACTGTTTTTTAGAACTAGAGTTCTGTTCATTGCAAATTCAGTTTTATGTGTTGTGTTCCACAGAGATTTCACTGTCTGTAAAAGATCTTGCCTTCTACACTTTGACTGTTAAAGCCAAAGCTGTGCTGCTTTTGCAATATAAAGTAATTGAACCCTTCCATGCTTTATGGGACTCCATAGAATATTGTCATCTGCAAGCATCTTAATTTCACTACACAGCAGAGGGAGATCTTAAAATGAACAATACCAATATTTATTTAAAAAGAAATGTCTGCATCACTCAATGTTGCTGTAGCCGGGCGACTCATCTCCTGTATGCTGAGGTCATGATCTTTCTGAAGATCTGAACGCCGGCAGTAATACTGAAGTCTAAATAGCTTTACACTGCAGTAGAGGAGATGCATATCTTCAGTGAAAGAAATGAGTGATCCTGATGAGCTTTACAAATGAATACATTTATCTCCAAGCTGGTTTCCAACTTTTTATCTCCAAGTCAATCTTTAATCGACCCTTCTTTACGCTTCTTTAAATTCCCTTTCCCATAAAATACACTTATTTTATGAATTCTTCAAAATGTAATAATAAATAATTAATAAATACATAATAAAATAATACATAAAATAAGGAATATTGTGCCCAGTTTGGGGCCTCTCAGAAAACTGTGGATAAACCTGAGCAAGACTAGTGAGGGACCACCAAGATGGTCAGGGCTGGAACACTTGTGTTGTGAGGAGAAGCTGAGAGAACGGCACTTTTTCAGGCTGGAGACGAGATGTCTTCAGGGAAGCCTAACAGCAGCCTTCCCATACCTACAAGGAGGTTACTGAGCAGGTAGAAACAGACTTTTTACTGAGGTGCATGGCAGAGTAATGGGAGACAATGGTCCTGCATTAAAATAGAGAAGGTTCTCATTGGGTGTAAAGAAAAAAAATCACTAGGAGGATAATTAAGCGCTGGAAGAGGTTTCGGAGAGGCTGTCGAGTCTTCTTCAGTGGGCAAAGCCTTGGGCAACCAAGGCTGAATTTTGTAGACCCTGCTTTTAGCAGGAGGTTGGATGAGGGACATCCCAAGGTCCCTTCCAACCTGGATGATTTGCTGGCCCTATAAAAAACAGGAAATCCCAAAATAGGGTGAGAAGATTACCCCATGGACCCTTCAGACACAAGCACATAACTTGCCTTCAGAGCCTAACAGGCCACCTGGTATCTCTGTAATATCCACAGTATGCAAAGAAACATACTCTTAGAAGTGTGTCTCTTGGTTCTGAAGCAAAAGGAAGGACTCAAATCATTCTGCTTTTAATGTTAAGGTACAAAGGATCTTTAAAAATAATTTTCTTTGTAAAAGCAGTGAAGCAAAACTATCCTGAATTATTCTGTCAGGCTATGGAGATTTCAGTATTTTCTGTAGCAAAATTATTCTGATTTTTAAAAATGTTTTATGTTAGCAAAAATATCCCATACCTTGTGGAGGAAGCTTGCAGATACTGTTGAAGTACTGTGAGTAGAAGCAAATCCAACTAAATTCTTTTATATATTGAGCAGAGGATGGAAGATTTCCATCTTTCTGACCCACCTCCCCCTCTGAAATAGTATCAAACTGCTCAATTTTGGACTTAATTATTCAGGCTTTGTTCATGCAAAACTTCCAACAGTGTCCATGAGCACTTTGCCTGAAAAAGAACAAATTCATTAAAGCTGTATGTTTTCATTAAGGGCTCAGAGAAGCAAATGGAAAGAAGGGGTAACATCTATAAAAATAACTTTTGTAGGTCTCTTGAGTTTAATTTCCAGTTCTTTCTATAAAAAAAAAAAGACATAGAAAAAGTAATAAGAAAAATATGCTCTAAATGATGTGTATCCTCCTCTCCCAGACTGGACTGGCACAAGACAACCAGTTCCTGTCTGCCAGCTGTGGACACCCTATTTCTTTTGGAGTGTGCGAGATCCAATTTGCCAGTATGTGGATATCACATTCTTAAGGTAAGAGTTCAAATTCCAGCTTGGCAGCTGAAGATAATCCACTTCTTTTTGGAGAGTGGTGATTTCAGTTTGCCAGCATATAGATCAGAAAATGCCTAAAAAATTAATGTATACCAAGCCAGTCAGAGTTTCTGTTTTGGAATGCCTTTCATTACACTCTAACTATAGAGTAGTGGTTTGCAACACGTATATATGAACTTAAATTTGCTCTAATATGGCCTCAGAAAAATGGTTTCACAAGGACCTGTGGAATGCAAAGATGAAATGTGAACTAGTTTTTTACATAGTTTTACATAGAAGACTTCACATCTTCTGCCCCAAGCTTTACGCAATTCAAATTCACTCCTTTATCTCTCGCACGCATACAAAACCACCCACACGGGATCATAGCATAATTGAGTTTGGAAGGAACTTTGGAAGATCATCTAGTTCAACCTCTTGCTCAAAACAGGGCTAACTTCAGCATTTGCTCAGGCTGCTGAGGGCCTTGTCCAGCTTCGACAATTTTCAGGGATGAAAATTCCACAGTGTCTCTGGGTGGCCTCCTGGGGCTTGGCCACCCTCATGGTGAAGAATTTTTTCCCTATGTCCCATGAGAACTTCCCTTGTTGCAAGGTGTGACTACTGGTCCTTGTCCTTTCACTGTGCACCCCATCTTCTTACAAGCACTCTTACATGTGTATTTTGCAGGCATACTCACTTTTACTTGTATGCTTTCCTTTTATTTCTACTTTGTACTTGCTCTATTTCTTTGCCACTTGTACATCAGACAGGGAAAATATTTAAGAAACTTTTTAAAAATGTCATCTGCAAGATCAGTTCCACCTCTACAAGACACCCACTGTAGTGGAAACTTTTTATATTAATTACAGAAGAAAAGAGGAGCAAAGGTGATTGTAAACACAAAACTGTTCCTTCTATGAGCACTGATGATCAGAAGTGGCTCTGGAAATGATCCTTTTTAAAGGGGAAAGTGAGAGGATGGGAACTTTTTAATTGAAATGTCCGAGTATGCAGATTATTTTCTTGTTCAGCTTAGATATATTTTGTCTTCAAGAACATATCCACTGAATAATCTACTTTAGTAACTGTTCCTGGAGGTATATGCCATACAACCTAGAGGCCTATACTACCTAATGGTAATGCCATTTTTTTGAAAATGTAAAGGCTAAGTGCTAAATATTACGATGTTGAGCACATGCTTTCTCTGGAATATCTATTTAGCAATAAGGCGATTGCAATATTTGTTGGAATATACAAGAAGTATTTCTGCCAAATGATAATAAAGAAGGGAGTTTAAAAACAATTTTGGTCAGTTAAGAACCCCGAGATAAAATCCTAACAATTTGTGTAGTTAATCTACAGTGAGTTTCAGAAGTAAAGTTGCCTCCATTAATATAAAAGCATATGTTTAAAACACTTCTATAATCTGCACAGCATTATACTTCTCCACTGTCACATCATTGATTACTCCTTGTCTTATTGTCTAACAAACAAAGCTCAGGAAAACAAATTAAAACAGAACTCATTAACGTTCTCTCTGAAAACGCTGTCATGTCTTTTAGGCCAGCTCTCAAGAAAGCCTGGATCAGTGGATAATCCTTCACCAACAGAGCAATAGATAGTGACACTAATAGGAAACGGCCGTATGATCTCACTGCGCTTAGGATGCCAGCCCTTGACACATTGTGAGAAATGTCTAAACACAGACATGAAGGTTTTCAGTGAAAGGGCAAGAAAATAGCTTACATTCAGATTTGCCAGAGGGATTGCACAGATGTACCAGAGGACATATTTTCAGAACTTAAGAGCCACAAAATATACCTTCTAATTTAAAAAGTGTATAAACCACACTAAAAGCCTCTTTTGCTTGGGCTCTACACTGTGTCAGTCACCATGGGAACCGAATGCCAGCTTTTGCTCCATTACAAGTTTTGGGGAGGTATATTATACCTTTTTTCTGGAACAAGAATTTGACTCTTGTTTCTGTCCTTATAGCAAGATATTGCTGAACCATAAGGGAAAAATGTGCAATGTTAAGGCCACCATTCTTCAGACTAAAAGTAAATGATAAAACAAGTCGGATAAACTGTGACATCTGCCATTTCAACAATACACCAGAGGCTGAGATGGGGACTGCTGGAGCTAAATGCATGAACCACGCTACGTAAGTAGCTTTAGACTTGAACCATGGCTATCTTCTGTTGATCAGCAGAAAGCCTATAAAGCACATGCCCCTTTAGAGACTGTAGGGTTTTAAAAAGTGTCAAAGGACGCAGTCCCGCCCTGGCAGAATAATACACACAGTAATCTAGCAGCCAATTTCCACCTTTAATTTCTACTTTCCTTTGGATTCCCTTTTGTTCTCCACTGAGCCCTTTAAAAGCAGAATAGTAAGTGAAGCCATACTACACACAGATATGTCACTTTACTTTCCTTGACTCAGCACTGAAGTTTTTATTATCACTTTAATTGACATTTTAGGATTGGTTGAAACTCAGACATGATTTCATTGTTTAATGTCAGCTTCTCTCCCATGTGGAAAACAAAAGGTTTGGGGTTTTTAGCCAGCGTGACAATTAACAAAAGGAATAGAGCAAATCACATGGCTCAGTCTGATCATCTGGAATGCCTTCATGACGCTCCAAAACCTTCTTTTACCCCAGTCCTACTTTGGCCCACAGCTGGCAGCTAAATATTTCCTAACTGATAGCCCACTTGGTGAATACAACTAGTAATAACACTGGGCCCAAGTCCACTCCCCACTGTTCAGTTCTTCTGTGGAATAGCTTCTTGCATCGTAAGCAGTTGTTGTGGTATCAAAATTCACATTTTATCTACCCAGCATGAGGGAGACGGAGGAATGTGGCTAGGACAATTTCAGGGAAGGGATTTTTAAAAGTGATTTCAGCTTGTGCTGTTGCAGTCCCGTTAGCGAAGTCTCACCTTCAAACCTTAGGATGATTTTTAAATATTAGAAGATACTTGGTATTAGAAGATACTAGAACTTAGGGATATGTGAAATGGAAGATGTTTGAGTGTCTGCAGCTAAATTTAGGCTGAATCCACCTAAATCCAAAACTGACATCCAAAAAACACTTGTTCCTCGCCCTAGTTGTTTTGAATTCAGTAGCACCATTTAGTTTATTTCAAAGATCCTTCAGAAAGAGTTTTGCTTCTACCTCAAGAGAGCCAATGTGAAAGGGGGAGATCCTCTCTGACAGTAGCGTTCTCAAAGCCTAAATGTAAAAAAATGTGTATCATTATTTTCATTCTATTATCCTAGTCCTTTTAGTGTGTTTTATCAGTCATGTTTGGACAAAAACCTCTTGAAATGGTCCCCTCACAAAATGCAGCTATGGTGACTTCTTTGTTAAAGTCATGACCAATGATAGCATGCTCATATACAGCAACTGACTGTTTTCCTTCATTTGCATGATGATACCAAAATCTCCATCTCTGAAGGTTTCCAAAGCACCAGAATAAAGAGCAATTAGGAGGGGGAGGCCAGGGCAGGAAGGAGGAGATCTACAGAACTCCTATTGCAGCTGGGCCGCTGTGCACAAAGTAAATCAAGATTTATTAGACTAGAGAGAAGGAACAAAAAGGAACCCACAGCCTAGGAAAGAGGCTTTCTTGGGTTCTCAGTTTCTGCCCCCAGAAAGATAAATGTATATATTCATTACTTACTGGATAAAATGTAAGATGTGTCAAGATACAAAAATATTTCAGAGTGGAAGGCTTAAAACCCACAATTAACCATTCCCTTTGGAGCACTCCGACCACCAACACGCTCTATCTGTGATCAGATGTTAAAGCAAGGGTGAGTGAAGGAGGGAATGCATCTCCTGCTAGTTTTCAGTTAGGAAAGTGCCTGGCTACCTGCACCAAAGAGCAAGGAGATGTGAATATGAACACTGAGGGTAAGGAGAAATTTGAGTGCCTGTCTCTCACTCCCTGCCTGAGTGATCTCACCTGTAAATTGCCCAGTAGAAGAAGGACATGAGCTTATTTTAAAAGAAAATGGTGAACTTTGCTTTGTTCTTTGAAAGAAAGGTTGCAGGTGAGGACACGCAACACCTGTAGTTTTCAGAGGCCTTAGCTGGTTGGAGAAGCGTGTCCCTTATGCTTATGCAGACACTGTGCTGTCTTTGACCTTTGGCATCTTGCCTAATCCCTAATACCTTTAATCACAAAGACATTCACATACACCTCCGAGCAGCTAGCTAGAGGTCCATGGATCAAATCAGAGTATGCTTTTTGCTCTGTGAGGAAGCAGAAGTCTCTAGTTGGCTGGTTTTTGTCTACCTACCATTTTGTGACTTTTTAAGAATGTCTTTTCACATGTCAAGAGTGAGGAAATGACCAAAAAGAGAGCCAGCATTAACAGTGCCTGTTGAATCTCACTCACTCATTTGCTCTGACACATCTCAGGCAGCCTTCAAATTGCACGGTGTAACACCCCAGGGCTTGAAAATCACCTCTTCATCCAAGCGAATGAAGTTCAGACCAATATATTCTGTAGTGGTATTTGCTTGTCCCATATCATTTGATGCAATGATCTGGCAAACAACTGCTTGCTGGGTCAGCCAAGAAGTCTGCTATTCTGTGAAATGTTAGGGGAACATTGTTTTGCTACTTCAGGTTAGAATTCGCATTTATCACCACATGTGTCTTGTCAGAGGTTTGATGCTTAAGTTATGATCATCTGCAGAGAAGAGAGGGAAAAGGAAATGCAGGGAACAGCACATAAAACCACTCTAGCTACATATGCTCCTCCATGTTCTTTTTTTTTTTTATAATAAGAAATGTTTGTTGTTTCTGTGCCTGCATTTGACTTCTCAGGATTGCCAGCATGCACGTGGGTATGAATAGCCTGGAACAAAAAGCAGTGGGCATAGAAGAGGCCTAAGACCATGTTGACTGGGTCACAGTGTATAGTTTTGTTAAGAAAATCTGTCTTGCTCACTGTTTTACCCAAACTGCCCACTCTGCGACTCTAAGCTGGGAATGACTCTAAAACTGTGCAAATGGCACAGTCTGAGGAGGGGACACAGAACGGTAGCTATTACCCAGCTGTTGCCAACGAACCTACAAAGCAACATAACGCACAACTGTAAAATCAGCCATAACAAAAGAAGGATAGGAAAAGAGGCAAATCTTTTGAAGTGCTGATCGCAGACTTATGAGGTGGGAAGGCAGCAAATCATCTTTCTTACCAGTGGCAATGGTAGCAACAGAGTTGTGATATGAAAGTCTGCTGGCAAGACTCAGAGCAGCCCTTCCCATGCCACTGACCTTTTTGCTTACTCACTATGGTCACATGTCGCTATTGTCTTATTTTTCTCTCGTGAGAGATGCAAACTATATTTGAATGAAGATAATTCCTCCAGAATCTCCTCCATTCATGTTCGCGCCCAGGGTATGGCCCAGATCTTCAGAAGAGGAGGAGGACATTCCTTCATCTCCCATCAATGTCCTGAACCTTTCTTCCAGACCTTCATCAGAACCTTGGCCTTGCTGTAGCCTTGAGCCTGACACTTTATTGTGTCAGACCCTGGCCATAATCATATTGCAGTCGCTGGGCAGGGACTAGTCTATTTAGGACACTCCCAATTATTGTCCTTGTGTGAGTGGTTTGTACTAGTGGAGATCTTGGACCTCTGTTGAAGTCAAGATGGGAGCGTATCATACCCGCCTTGGAGAATACTATCCCAGTGGCCTTGAGCTGGGGCCTGACTCGAGCTCTTGCATAGCTGTGTTGTACTTTTTGTTACATATGGGTGAGTTGCACTGTTTGGTACTTGCATGTTTACATTCAGCTGGCTGATGCACAGAGGTGATAATGAAGGGTAATTCTTCTGAGCTGGCACAGAAAGGCCCAGTGAGATGGGAAAGGCATAGGCCTGAAGCTGTTTGGATCTCCTGTAAAACGGCCACCCGGTAAGGACTAAAGGTCTGAGCCTAGTTATGGACAACCTAATCAGACAAACTGATAAACCATCATGAACATACAATCCTAGACCCAGCAGATACCACATCAAAGTTACAAGACAAATAATATTTCAACATCTGACTTGGCAGAGTCTGTTTACACTGGGTCAGAAATTTGGCTGAGGGAGCTGCAGCTTTTTTAATTAAATCTCAAATGGCCTGCAACTGTTTTTGCTCTTGCATTTGACTATACTGTAATGCTTATGATGTTGAAAGAGAAGCTTGCTTATTTATTTGATTTGCTCTTGCAGTTTTCCAGCACGATACTCTGAAAGTGGAGAGTTTTCATAAAAACAGGTGCTTCCGTAATGGAGAAAATGTGTCCTGGCAACTAACGAAAATAATGTGATATTTTTTAGTAAAATATATATGTATATATAGTTATACATGTCTAGCACAATACAGTGGACATATAAAACCTCCCCAACAAGAATGTGTTAATTGTTCAATGAAATACTAGAAGACAGCTACCCTTTGAGGCAACTACCTGAAGGCAGCCATTAGCACAACTACACTAACAATGATTCTTTTTGCAGATATCCCAGATCTCTCCAGCTGATATCTCAGTCAAAATATATCCACTTTCTCTCGGTATTTACACTGCCACAGAGCTTTGGTTAAAACCATTCAATAAACTGTTCAGTTTTGTATACATTGTATATAAAGTGCTTGTGTTGGAGTTATCAGCATCTAGATTAATAATGTCTCATTTTCTTAGAAATGTCACTTTGAGTAAAACATTTCAACAGTAATTGTGAAGGAATGACTCTAAGACTTGCTGGAGCAGAAATCTTTGTTCTAAACCAGGAGAAAGGGAGACTGAAGCCTGCAAACGGAGTCTCTCAGATGTGTGCCCACACTAGTGGGTGGCCATTATACAGGAGATATATTTTTCCTTGTGGTTTTTTTTGTTTGTTTGCTTGCTTGTTTGCTTTCCTGCTAGGCCAGATCCCACGGACCACCATGGTAGGCTGGACTTTACAGGCATGACAGGTGAAGGAGCTTGCTGTGAAGGAATTTGTATAAAGCTTGGGCTGCATGCATGAAGCTAGGTATTTAGCCACGTAGGGCATTCAGAAGTCTCAAAGGCTAGATGGCGGTTGTGAAAAGGATCACAGATTGTAATTTTGGATTTCGGTACCTGGAAGTGACAGGAGGGTTTTCTATCACTAATTCTCCTTGTGGGGTTGCATGGGGACGTTACTGGTGACAAATACTATAATAGTTATCAAAAAAATTCCCAGGTTACTGTGATCTCATTGGCTGGCTGAAGAAAGATGGTTTAATATTGACTATTCTTACACATTTCTGCCTGTTAAACTAAAACACACAACTTTGTGTTAACTAACACACTTCTTTCTTCTGGGTTCTTGATCAACAGAGCTATGGGTGGAAAAAAAATCAAAAATGAAGAAAACACCATAATCCAAATCTTAACCTGAGTTAATGTCACAGTAAACCTCCCATATACTTGATACTAGACATGAAAGTATAGTCAGCTACACTGTTGACTTGAAAGCAGGACAGAAAATTTTAGGAATGTACAATGTGGCTAGGACAATATTGCTGTAGCTGCCTTGGCACGTCCTGACTTTTTGATACTTACTGGGCAATACTAACATTGCTATAGCTTTTAGGACTGAGTTGGGTATTTTTAACACACACATGAAATCTGCACTGCAAGCGAAGTTGCAATTGAAAAGCAGCAGGCACGCCCTCTCTATTTTTGCTCTAGTTGGAATAGATAAATGTGGTAGAGAAGACCCAGCTGTATGGGCTTCGCTACGGGCTGTACCAACCTGCTGAGGACACTGAGATTTATTTAGATTCTTGATCTGTGCTGATTCCTGCAATGCAGCATCCTCATTAATAGCTAGATCAGGTGGATTTATACACCTTCATATGCCACGGTCACACCTCCACACATTTGGTGGAGTACTTGCTCAGCTCCGTGAATGCTTTGGATTTTCCAAGCACTGCTCATACAGTAAATAATGTACTAACATTATTTACAGGCAGATCAGGTGGATCTAAAGAATAGGCTTAAAGTTTCTGCCTGTCACAGTTTGACAGAAGTATCTGAAGGGGGCTTGTGGAAAGATCCCAAAAGGCAGAGCTATGGTTAGAACCTCCTGGCCAACATAACAGCTACAGTTTTTAGCTTGACAGACCAGGTCATTTGACAGCATCAAAATACACAAGCCACCTATAGTGCTTTGGACAACTATACTCTGTAATTTTTTTTTATTACCATTTTAGACCAATCTAGCAATAATAAACTGAGTCTTAAGGTTCCTGGCAGGCTGCCCCAGTATGAGAAGCATTCTCGTCCTTGTTTAAACTAACGTTTTTTCAGCCAGACTACTTATCTAGCTCTGGGAGGTTTGGACTGTGGTGACTTCTTGCTCTCAGCCATCCCCACATCATATTATTTATTTGTGGCATTCTGTTTAAGGGCTCCTATGTAAATTCTAGTTTGGAGCCTTTGTCAGATTGATAGCGAGGACTATATTGTGCCCATTCCCCTAGTGGCAAGGCAGCTTCAGTGTCACTTAATAAATCATAGTTCCAAACACGAGAGAAAAAATATAAGTATGTTGGAAATTTAAAATTGGATCTTTTCTGTCATTCTTCTCTCATCACAAATAAACCAAAAAGAAAAGAAAGAAGCTTGTGGTACTAGAAGCCTTTGGATTGTTATAACTACTAACCAAAACCTCCAATAAGCTGCCAAAGTGACTACTTTCCTCAAGCTTATTATTGCATTTCTGTTTCTCCCATTTAACTCCTCAACTGTAAAATTTCCATGCAAATAGCACGATGTGCCTAAAATGTCTTATCTTACATAAAAGTGAGAACAAAAATTTTCAGGAGGACACTGTGTATCTCTTTTCCCCCTTATGCCTGCAGCTATGCAAAACCAAAATGGTTTCCTTCTTGGCAGACAGGCAGGATTCCTAATGAGCCAATATGCAGAAAACAAAGGTAAAGTTAGGAGACAAACACCAGAGGCTATGTCACCCTCTTTTCCTTTCCTATCATGCTTTGTCCAGCGCTTACCTCCTTCTACTACCACTAACTAAAGCTGACAGATATTTAGAAATTATACTTCAAAAAATGTGATCGGCTAACTAGCTCCTCACATTGACACAAATTCAACACTTCTCCTGCATATTCATGGCTATGAACAATTTTTACTCTGTTCATATCCCTGCTCTAATTTTCTCCTAACTTTGCCTAATGCTTTTTGATTCTTAGCTAAAGGCTTCTTTTATCTCTTTTCCAGTAATGTGCTTCGCGTTGTTTCATACTGCCTTTGTCCTTTCCCCAGGCTTCTCCTCCACCTCAGATGTCCTGTTTCTTCAGCCATCTCTTTCAAACACTCTTCTGTAGTGGGGAGTTTCCCCTACGATGTCCCTCGTATTTCTCCATGAGAAATTCCTCGGTTCAGGAATCACAGAGCTGAAAAGCGCTGCGTGGAGCAAATAGTGCATCCCCCGCTCCCTGATGCGATGGAATCAGAGGTTTTGAATTGATGTAGTGTGCACAAATAGATGGATACTGGTAGCTAAAATACATGGATATTGCCAGTTGATGGATATCTCTTTATATCCTACTTTTCCTATTTATTTTTTTCACAAGCATAGAGTTAACACAGAGAGAGGTAGGAGACAGAAGGGTGGTGTCGACTTTCCACCAAGAAAAATTCAGAATCTGGTAGATCAAGCGAATATGAAGTGAACACAGGGGGACACTGAAATATTTGGGTTTAAACTAACATAATTCATATGTCTTTCTGGCTCCTTCTGCATATATGTTAAACAAAGTCCCACTGAGTTTAGCTCATTAGTATTATACGTTAGTAAAGTACATACATGATAGCCCATTAGTAATGTTGAATATAATTTAACTCTCTTTCCAGTAAGTTCTGTTTTTAGTATTTTATCAGCCTTAGCTTTCAGTGCTGCTGACTTCTAACAGGCCTTTTTTGGGGATTTTTTTTTCCTGAGCTGGTTTTGGTGGTGAGTGGGAGTGAAGAAAGAAATTCAATAAGCCTGAAGGCAATTGCTGTACTGGCAGTGTGCATTGCTTTTCATTTTTTAATTGGCATGAAGGCCCTCCAAGTAACACAAGCTCTCCTTTTTGACAGAAATGACAGATAAATTATATAACAAGATGCAGTATGATAGTTTTTTTTTTGGGGGGGGTGGTGGGGGAGAATTAAGTGAAGTCAAATTTGAAAGCTTATTTAGTATCAGGGGTATTCCTTAACTGTACTATTAAATAAAGCCTCTTTTAAGGTGCTCCTAAGGCACTTTACAAAAAGCACTTTGCAAAATAGAGCCAAGATTTAAAATGACATGGTTGTCTAAATTAGATTCCTTAATCTATAGTTGAACATACCAATAATAACTCAATAATCAAGAATGTTTGACCTCTCACAAATCCTATTAACTTTGGCAGGGGGAACTGCAAACGATTTGAGTTGTGCAAGTAATTTCAGCTTTCAAAACTGAAACTATAGATTCTAAGGTTTTAAAGCATTGGTTGAATTTGTACTAGAAACCAATATGTAACCGTGTTAAAAAGCAAAATAGATGAGTGTCCTTGTTTCTTCTAAATTTATTTCAACCTCCTGTAGCCCCACAGAAGTTCTCTGACATTTCCCATTCTTGGTAACACTTCCTCTCTAATCAGATCAGTATATCTACATACTCGACCACATTCTTTATGCTAATTTCCAATAAATGTTTTCAAAACTTGGGAGGCTGTCTTCCTTGAGTGATTTTAAGCTCCTTAAGGGGGCTTACAAGGCAGTATGAAGTGAGGAATGAAGAGGAAAAGAAATTACTTAAATTAAGAAGCCTTTTCCTGAATATACAGTAATAAAGGCATGGCACTAAACAAATAGTCCCTAGTAGGTCAAAAATAAACCTGCATAAAAGAAATAAACAGGTTCCTCTCTATTCTATATACTACTCAAAACACGAAATTTCCTGTATTACAAGTGAATGTTCTTTGTTCTTTTCAAAAAATCACTAGGAGAAAGGTTTTCCCATCAAGGAAATTGGACATCACAAAGTCCATGTAAGAGAAACCATGTATGGTTTTATGCAGAACAAACTCTTCTTGCTTAAGTATCTTCACCTTTTTACCCCCTCAAAAATACATCAGTCTTGCATCACGGGAGGAAAAGTGTTTCTTAAAGCAGTAAAAAGAGGCCAAGAAAACAAATGAAGTATCACCTGAGCAATTACTATCAAATAATAAATTGCATTGCTGTGACTCTTATCACACAAGCCTCTGAAAACACACTGAAATATTTAAATTAATTAACTTCTCAGTATTACAAAGAAGTCTTCTAATGACTATTTCATAAGTTCAGCCACAAAGATTACATGTTTCTTTTTTGTGATATTAAACAAGAAATCTGTGTCAAAGCCATGTACAGAATCTAAATCCTTTCGCATGCAGCCTCACAGTCTGACCACAATATCATTCCTCTATACATTCATATAAATGACTCTTAGGCACAGCACATGTTTTCCATGATACCATAAACTCCATTCACTAAGAAACAACATATAAATGTTCCCAAAATAGGTATAAAGAAATATCTCTCTTTCTAGATTGTTGTCTGGAATAGCTGCTTTCACATGCTAACAAGAAACTCAACCTACTGAAACACGCTTTGGCTTTCATGTTCTTTGCACTAGAATTTCCCTTCATAGCCAACTTAGTATATCCAGGTCCTGCAATTAGTTAGTTTTGGGAAGACAAGCTGCAACATCACAACCTAACTCATACAAGTTTTCCAGTTCCTTAAGCTAAGGAACATGTTTATTCTACATTTTGATTTTGCTCTGCACTGTAGTTCAAATTTGTCCCACATGGGAGCAAGCCTTCACGTAAAGGTATTTTGGGACACGGTGGATGGAGAAGTCTGGTCCATACCATTAGCACAGTGCGTTCAGGTGAGGCATACTGCACCTGGCCTAGTCTGTTACCACACAACCTGTTCTTTTAAACATAGGAGGTAAGGACTGGACATAGCCTGAATTCAACTGTCCTTGTGTCACCAGGAATGCACTGACCAAAAACAGATACTCTATTTATGAGGATGTGTGCGAAGCTGACTCAAGGAAGATGCTGAGGTGTAGCTTATTCCCCAGCTTAGGCTGCTAAGATATCAAAGCCACCGTCTACTTCGACAACTTGATGTGAATATCTTTTGACAGCTATAATTCACTGATGTTTTGCTCTTTGTAAAGCATTGCTCATTCTCATACACAATGAAAATATTCATTAGGAAGCTTGCAGTTTTGCATTTTCATATATTTAAATTATAGTTTATTCAGTGAGAACTGCATTACACAAGTAAAGGAGAAAGTTCCTGTCAGGTTGCTCCTCAGATAGAGCAATGAATTAGTTTCATAGCTCTGCTCCGCTTACCAATTGTCATCCTTTGTAAGGATACTAAATTCATGAATCAGGGCTCCTCACAGGGAGCTCGTGTGCATCTCCTAGACAGTTTATGGGCAGTCTGCTCTCTGTGCTAAGCACCATATCACACTGTGACCCACTGGTCTCAGAAGTCTTTGCTGAATTGTTTCGTCCTGAGGAGGTAGTTGTTTATTTGCTGTAATTTTGTTCATCTACAAAGATGGTGCACCGTGTCCTGTATAGACAACTATAAAAGCAATAAAGCAAGCCAAATCTGCTTTCCAGCAATTATGGGCCCTCAGAGCATGCTTTTCACTGGCTTCCCCTGTTTGCTTATTCCTGGTTCTGACTTACGACACATAGACTTACAGCAGTCAGCGCATTAGCCCTCACATTTCTAGTTACCACTGGAGGTAGACTGTGATGGTGCAGTGGAACACCGAAAAGCAACAACAACAAAAAGCAGCACTGGAAGGGAACAGTCCTTCCTCCACCCTATTCCTTCCTGCTCCCTGGGTGTTTCCCTTCAGGTCATTCACCCAATTCCATGGGGAACTGATTTAACAAACTAAGCTACTAAAAACAGCTACCAAAAAGGCAGTCAGATGAAAATCAGTGCCAGTGCAAAGAAGGGAAAGGGCCACCTTTTTCTGTGATAGCTGCTTAGCTGATAAGCTTAGATGTAGCATCAAAATGCTCCCGGTTTTCTTGCATTTGTTCTTGCTCCAGACAGTTCAAAGCCTTGAGTAGTTCCTTCAAATATTTCTATTTTTTTTTAACATTTGGAGGCTTTTAATAGCACTGTAATTTAACCTGCGTTGAGAGGTGGCCAGCCATCCTATCAGTTCCAGTAAAGACTGTGATTGTTCATATACCATAGACACTTGCCAAAGGCCACCAGTTCCTTCCAGTTGCATTAAATTCTGACTGAGGTAGTCAGCACGTAAACAATACTTCAAAAGATACACATCTCTAGGAGATAATTCTTATTTCCCCTACTAAAAGAAAAACAGGTTCTGAGAAACTTCTCTAAAGTGCTGGCAGCAAATGTTACCCAACAACTGTAGTGTGAACTTGGCAAGGACACTTCCACCATGCATTACAGAAAACATCAGCCACCATATGGATTTAAAGCATTTAGCTTTGTTAACTTGCTGCTTTTCCTGTGAAAGAATATTGAAGATAAAAGTTTCGTGTTGCATTTGTAACTTTGTAAGGTTATTTTTTGCTATATGTACTGTTCCCATAGGGTAAGAGCTCTCTCAACTGGCCCCATCCTCCTCTAGGCACAGTGTTTGAAGCTGTTTTCTCCAATGTCCTCAGAATGAGCTCCACACAGTAAGCTAAAAAGCTGTCCTTATTTTTTTTCAGCTTGTTCCCCAAAACTCTTGCTTATGATTTTATATAGGAATCTTAGCAATTGGGAATCTGCTAATGCAATTCAAGCGCTGCTGATACAAGCCTGTCACACTGATCCATGTTATCTTATGATTTCCATTCCTTGTTTGTTTTGGTATTAGGCTGTGAACTCCTTGGGGCAAAGTTCTGTGATTTGGGCTTTTTAGTGCATTCAGGTTTGTACCTGGTCCATGATCAGAGCTACTGGTGCTGTCTGTGATAATAAAAGGAGATAAAACAGTTTGAGAGCACTGGGAATGTATATTTAAAAGGCTTTGCTTACTTAATATAAGTGCAAAAAAAGTTCTTGCATTCACTTCTCAAGAGATACTCATGACAAGGTACAGCAAACACTTCAGCTATGCCTTGGGTGCAGGGCAGTTCACTCTGTTACGGGCTCTGCTGTCCCAAAACTGGCTGCGCAGACTGAGAACCTCCCTGAAGGGTACTGCAGCTCCCTTTTGGCCTGCATGCTTTTGGAGTTCCTTTCTATTTCCACAAAAAAATGAATGACAGTTGGCACTCAACCTAATGCCCTGCCACACTGCCATTTTGTAAGTAACTAGAAGTGCTGAACGGCTTTTAGGTGGAACATAGTGCTGACTGCAAAATAGCAATCCACAAAAACCAGCAAGTGCATCCTTCGGCACATATAAAAATCAGTTCTTGCTAGCAAAGTCTACCACCCTCAGTGCATATATGTACATGGACTTTCTTTACAATAACTGCAGTACCCAAGTGCTTTTTCAGTTTCATATGTCAAGATACTAAAATTACAATAGAAAAAATATATAACTCACCTAAACCGTATACTCTACAACCATATGACAGTGTATTACAATACTAAGAAAACTCTATGTCAAAACCTTTGCTTACTGACTCTTGACCTATTTTCATTATATATGACAGAACAGTATCATTTTCTTTACAAGAGGTTGGCACAACCCTGTCAAGAGCATAAAATATAGTAACGACCTGCAGCAGACGATAACGTGTCTGCCTTTCCAAGTTGCTAGTGTGATTTAGCTTAAACATTTATTTGATGTACAGTTCACAGGCATCTGATTTTGCTTTCTCTTGGATATTAAAAGTTCCATAACTACCAGCTAATTGCAGGGAAGGAGTATAACTCACAGATCCCATAAGTTCCTCACACCATTCTTCCACTTCCACATGCTATAAAAGGAATCCAACCTCAGAGGTGGTAGTCTCCCTTACCACTACCCTCCCCTTCTTCTGATTAAAAATTCTTGAATGACTTTTGCAGGATTACCATACAAATGCCATCAGAAATTAAGAACTGAGAAGATATTTAGTGAAACTATTAAAAATTTTATTAAAACAACCGACAAACAGATGAGGAATTATCTTTACATAAGACATAACACACCTCTCCTAAAAGAGAGAGATGAAACATTTTAACCTCCAGAGAACCATAGTTTTATAGATTACGCGTGTATTTAAAGACAGAGAGCTGCAATCCTTATTTTCTATAAATGAGGAGAACTGTCTGGACAACACAGCGTTTGAATTGCTCAACAGATTTTCTGAAAAAAGTAAATCAACTTTGTTCAAAAAAAATCCTTATGCGAGGGGAAAAGAAAGACTTCCTATCTTCCACCTTTATACTCTTCCTTTCTCCCCCTAGAAGTAAAGAGGGCCTTAAAATGCTCTTCCTCTCTCCCCTTCCCACAGACTTCTTTGAGCAGTACCTATGAATGTTTTTGTGAAAGCAAAGCCAGAGCGTTAGGCACAAAGTTGATCTTATCTCCATGTAATTTGAAGATGAGAGCAACTATTCTTGGGTGTTTATAAAATATCACTGCCACTGAGATTTCTAAAGCTTAGGCAAAGGAAGTTGTGATGTAATGTGCAGTTGCCATGCTTGAAATAAGTTTCATCTGCTCTCACCCTGTCTCAG